GCCCATAAAAACGAAAAATCACCATCGGGCATACCGGCCAGTCCAGCTATGCCTGGCCTGTTGGAACAAATGGTTTTAACTATATAAAGGCGCTTACTACAAAGTTCACCACTGAGTGCATGTCATGGCTGTCTGATCACAGTGATGTAACAAACACATTTCCAGAGGCAAAAAATGACACAGGTATTAACATTAACAGTATGAACTACCAAAACTGAACTTTTAACCTGGTTTTAACTTTGAACTGTATGTATTATTTAGATATCTTTTAGACATCAGACCAGCAGAAAGCTGAGAGCCTCACTTCACACTGTACTTGCTGTCCTTCCATCACAAGTTTAAGGCTGAAAGACGAACAAATAAAAAATTTAGAATCACATTAAGGTTCGATTAACCTCAGTAGAATGTATCCGGACTGTGGGGGGAAGTCCATGCAGTATGCACACTCCACACAGAAAGCCCTCAGCCCCAGCATAGTCTAAACCAGGGGTGGGGAAGTCCAGGCCTCAAGGGCTGGTGTCCTGCAGGTTTTAGATCTCACCCTGGGTCAACACACCTAACTCAAATGATTAGTTCATTACCAGGCCTCTGGAGAACTTCAAGACATGTTGAGGAGGTCATTTTTCCATTTAAATAATAATGATAATGGATCAAGGATGTATCTAAAAACTGCAGGACCCTTGAGGTCTGGAGATCCCCCACTCCTGGTCTAAACCAAAAACCTTCTTATTATGAGGCAACAGTGGTAACCAAGTCTTGCAATTAAAGGCTTGCAACAACCTAAAAAACTAACTTTTCATAGACCGATGATTGACTAACCGGATTTAGTCTATTAAACTGATGGATGGTGTTTGGAAGTAGCACTTTTCTACTTTTGCTGAGCACTCAAAGTGCTTTCTTATTATAAGCCCCATTCACAAACCTATTTCTACACCTAAGAGCTGTTTTAAAACCTGCCTTTCACATTTCATTGAATGCTTTGCAGGCAAATTAGGATTCAGTATCTTAACCACAGATACATTGACATGCACCTTAGAGAAACTGAGGATTGAACCACTGACCTTCTGATTAGTAGACAACCTGCTCTGCCTCCTGTACCACAGCTGCCCTGAATACCATTTTTCAAACTCTCACCACCACAAAACCTGTAATGCCATTAGGGTGTTCTTTGTGCATAACTCTGTATCTGTATCCCTACAAAATGAAAAACGATCTGAAGCAAACAGTTATGAAGTACATACTGAAATACATATTTTCGCATTTTTATTACAGAATATGAAAAATGAAGAAATGAGCACCACTGTTGTCATGAATCTGGTGAGTCTATTTGCATGCCTGCTTGTCATACTTGCAAATTGAAGTAAATCTTAAGCCGATAGAATGAATTATCCAACAGCTTTCTGAGTGTACTCTAACTGAAAAACTCTTTCACATCACACTGAGTAGCTCATCCGTGACTCCTACTCCAGTGGCAGTATGTTTATTAACACGGGGCCTCGTCTTTCGAGTACAGCTCAGTGCCAATGCACACTGTGCACATAATCAGTAGAACAGTTGGAGTAGTCATAATAGCAGGCAAAATGAAAAAATATGCAAATTGTGTTTTGTTATGCAAGGACAAATGCACAGGGAAGCCATCCCTGTGGAATCTAATTACAGAAGTGGAGAAATGAAAGATAAAGTGATACAATGACAAATTGGTTGCATTTGTTAAAGCAAAGTTTCTGCTGGCTGTCATTTTCTGCTTTAATCCCAACTCTTTTCATGGACTTGTGGATAATAACATCCCTACATATTAAAAAAAAAAAACCTTTTATAAAAATGTTCAAATAGGAATGGACAGATTATCGGTTGTCATGGAAACCGAAGGAGCACAATGGGATTCAGGTGCTACGCATCCCCTCTGGGAAGGTTTGGCTTCCTGACATCGTCCTCATCAATAAGTAAGTATCAGCATTGCAACTCGCATTAGCATTAGCATTAGCGTTAGCGTTAAGATTAACAAAGACTTGAAAGGAGAACGTTTTTGATCTCTTTGTTCCATTTTTGTATTTGTATGCAGTGTTTGCAACCTTTTGTACTTACTAATTTACCCCTACCTGAGTAAAATAAACAAGTATTGCGATATAGTAAATATTTTCATATCAAATCCGTATCCATCGTACTATATTGTTTTGAAATTGGACAAATTGCATACCCCTGTAGCTTGTAGCTGCAGGCCACTGGAGACTAGGTGATGGGCCAGGTAAATTATAGTAGTGCTCATGTGTATTGGAAAAACTATATAACACAGCATTAAATGAAAGATTTAGATACTCAGAACAGCAAGTTTAGTCTTTTCTCCATATTGGCTCACGCAGACACGCTCCCATTAACACCACTGTAAATATCCCCACTGCTCCATTCATCAACACTTTATAGGCAATTAAGCAGCATGGCTCCCTAATAACTGAGCTGATAGCACCGCTCAGCTACTTCAGCTTGTGAGGCGTTCATTTGGAACCGCACGGATACACACAAATATGCACGTCCGCACAAATGCAAATTTGCGTGTGCTTCTCTTGGGTTGTTCAATGCCGGCCATTTTAGCAGCAGCACTTTCACAGGGACAGATTTTTAGGAGGGCCTGGGGTAAAGACACAAGCTTCTCATTGTTCAGTTATCAGAGACATAAAACTCAAACACTGTACGCTGACAGAAGCCTAAATCTGTGTCTAATTGACTTGATGTCTTTGTTGTGCATTGTGTTATGAGCCCGACAGCTTAGTATAGGAGCAACATTAGTGCTGCACTTACAGTCAAAGTGCCCCATAAAAAGTGTGCAAAGAATCTCCATTTAATGCCAATTACAATGTTTAGATGTGGGGTCTTTAAGTGTGGGAGTGGAGCTAAATGTTCATGTTCTACACAGCCGTGGCTTTGCCTTGTCTGTCTCTTTCTAAGCTTTGTCAGAGGAACTGAGATGATAACAAAGCAAAGACTACAACTGAGATGCAAACTTTGATTGCTGCTATTTCGCAACTTTAGAACTTAAGTCAGCAGCTTAGAGAGTTGTTATTGCTTCAGTACCCTAATAATGGCTTGGTGGTGCAGCTGCAGAACAGAGACACCTCACTGTTTGTCACGTTTTAGTTTATGCTGGCTGGATTTCCTCACCAAGCCCTCTCAGCTATCTTTGTAAAAGCAAAGTCACAATAAACCATCCATCTCCAGCACAAAATAGATTACTTCCCATAGTATGGAGGGGTGGGG